AGTGAAGCATCAAAAATAGAGTAGAAAAGAATTGTGAGAAAAGAGGAAGATAAGGGAAGAATCAAAAATAGAGTAGAAAAGAACGGCAAGAAAAGAGAAAGATAAGGGAAGAATCAAAAATAGAGTAGAAAAGAACGGCAAGAAAAGAGAAAGATAAGGGAAGAATCAAAAATAGAGTAGAAAAGAATTGTAAGAAAAGAGAAAGAACGAGAAGTATAAAGCGAGGAAGAGAAAAGATGGAAAACGAAGGAGCAAAGAAGAGGAAAGGTGGATAAAAGGGGCAGGACCGGTCCCTGGAGCTGTCGTGCACCGCTCAATAGGGGCTAATTGCCGCAAGGAGAGCTGCAAATTCGTGGTATTGTGAACCGCGTCTCGTTTCGTGCCTCGCTGTCGAACCGAGTCGCATTGTCGGTGTCCGCGGACGAGGTTTAAGGTGGAATTTCAATGAGAGAACGCAGAGGCACAACACTCGACGCCGTGCCACAATGACCAGCCCAGCCCGATCGAATCGATGAGCCGTGGCGGATATGCAGACAGTATCGAAAACAAGTGGGAGGGACCATCTTCGGTGGGAGAGAGACGATTAGTAATTAATAGTTAGCGTCGGGGGCAGGTGGTCGGGCTTTCGGTTCGATGATATGGAGTCGGGTGTCGTGGTCGGGGATTAAATGGAGGACGACGTTTGCGTTTCGTGCCGAGTGCCGAAGAATTGGTAACATTGCTTTGATACATATATAGTTATTTGAATTTTACTAGCTCCTGACGATATAATTTCTGATTATTTGTTCGTTCTTTTATCTGTGAGATGTGTAACAGACGCAATTTTTAAACTCATTTTGAGGATTACAACTCCTTGAAATTCAGAGCACCTGAAATACATCACTTTCGTCGTATTATTTCTTAACAAAGAAAATTGTTGAAATAGGGGAGATAAAAATTCAAAAAATTAACAACCAATGGAAATTGTTTATTACTTCACACTTCATTCCATTTGTAAACTTCACAGCGTTCCTCCCTTAAAATTCAACACAGTACATTTAGAAAACCCCTTAGCTATTCAGCCCAAGTTGCCAACCTCTAATCTAGACACCAAAACACATAGACCCTATCCTGGCGTAAGCATTTGCATCGAATTCCAATCTAATACAAAAATAAATCCTCAAAGACCCTACCAAAACCGAAATCTCACAGAGAACTACCATTCTCCATCAGCAATTCAAAGACTCGCAAAGATCCTCAACTCCAGCCACCCCACAACAGAGGATCTTCCTCAAAGAAAAGTGAACTTGACTTGGATCCCTTAACGCCCAACTCCCCAGTCAGCTCGTCGATAGTCGATCGACCGCAGAAAAATCAGCTGCGACTTTCACGCGGCGAAAAGACCGCCGGGAATTAGCTTCTTCCGCGCGCCCGGCCTCGAATGAAGCTAGCCAGAAGGCAGGGCAAAGGAGCATCGCGCCAAGGGAGCCGCTTGTACGGGCTCATTGAGGCGCATGAGGCGGCCCAGCGTGGCAGATTACCCCTCGGAAATCAATTTAAACACGGGGCCAGGTTTCTTTAGACTGGCCCTGACAATGCCGCGTTGCCTCTTCTTAATGGGGACCAACCGTCCGTTGGCTTCTCGCGCCCCCGATACGCAGCGTTCCGGATTAAACGGGGTTTACACGGCTCCGTGGTGCTTCCCCGTGACACCGAGTCCACTCCCTGTTCCTCCATGTTTTCTCGGCCACTCTATTGACCGGTGCCTTGGGTACTCGCCTATCAGCCAGGTAGAGACGGTCAAAGAGCAGAACCGGAAAGTCGGAGAAAGAGAAGGACGGAACTAAGGAGAAGGCTGATAGAGAGGGAGAGAGAAAGGGCAACAGCGCCGGTTAAGAAGAAAACGGGAGGAAGATCACCGTGACCGAATGATCCCCGACACCGGTCGTATTTATACTCCTGTTTGCCTCCTGATTCGCCACAGCCGGGATCCTTAAACAGCCCCCTCGAAGGTCCTCTCCCGTGTCCGTGTCTGGTGACCGGTCAAAACACTCATTCGTTTTCCGGGACTCTTTACCTGGACGCTCGCACCGACACGATCCTTTTTTTCCGCGCGCATCCGCGTGAAATCGCCGAATTTTTCACTGGACTCCTCCGATGAGCTGGGAAAATCGCGTTAAGCGGAACTTCGTGGAAATTCTTGGGTAGCTTCGGTGTTTCCCGGTGGCTCAATGCAAGAGCGCCGGGGTTGGGGGCTTCCGAGGCGAGATGAGAAATCGAGACACGATTGGATCTGCGCTCCGTGAGGTCGATGGAGGATTCCCGTCCAATGTTGTGATGTTTCCGTGCTCCCGCTTGCGGGAATGGGGTTGAGGACGAATGGTTTCTTTTTGGGATTCGAAGCTTCGAGTGATTTGGGACTTTGGGGATGGTTTTGGGAACTGGGAGCTTGATGATGTACTTTTTTGATTGAATTTTCCTAACGATTTTTGAGTCGTTAAATATTTTAAGTTGAGTTTTTGCCGTTTTATATGAATTTTTGGTTTTGTTTTTAGGTGAAGAAATGTAGTTGAACTTTATAATTATATTTTTATGACACATGGTTAATTTAAGTAGAAAATTAAAATTGATTCTGTAATAATAAATAACCGAACGTTGTTCAGTTTATTTTACTTAATATAATTAACAACTTAATATAATTATATAAAAAGTTAAGAAATGCTTATACACTTCTTTCGCAGTTTCTACAGTAATATAAATATTTAATTGCGATAGAAATAATTATAAAACTTAATTTATATAGGTACGTACAAGACGCAAAGAAAAATATAATTTCTTTCAACAAATTTTCCGATCATTTTCATAGGAAATAGGAATCTTTTTCGAAATAAACATCGCATTAAATTAAAAAATGCAAATTATTAATTAATTGATTATTATTATTAGTTTATATGTTATCTCTATAGCTCCATCTTTGTAATCAATCCTATAACCGTGAAAGTGTTTTGTTACAGAGGTGCAAAGAGAAATTGAACACCCTCGCAATCTCGGTGATGAACCAATGGCCAGGGGTGAAATTAAGGGTAACGGAAGGCTGGGACGAAGAAGGGAAACACGCTACGGATTCGTTGCATTACGAGGGACGTGCCGTCGACGTGACAACGAGCGATCGGGATCGCTCGAAATATGGAATGTTGGCTAGGCTCGCCGTCGAAGCTGGTTTCGATTGGGTTTATTACGAGTCCAGGTCACATATTCATTGCTCCGTCAAATCTGGTCAGTATCTCTTATTCGTTCCTTTTCTATTACTTACTTCACAAATTATTGAACTATATACTATCGTAATTGAAGAGAGAAAATAAAATACAGGAATATACTAAATCAATTTTCAACTTACGATTAAAACGCTGTCGTTAATTCAAAGGAAACATTGTTGCATAAATATCTTGTTAAAAAACCTGTGGCATAATGAAAAAGTACCTTTGTTAAGAAATAAGTGTAGTTCATAATAAATTAACCATAAATTATAATAAATAAGGAAAGATGATCTATCTTTTATTATTTCTATTTTATTACATTTATTATGATTATTTTGCAATAGTAGTATTAAAAAATGAATTATAGTTTCCAAATATTATGCAATGTTCTTAAACGTTTCCAAACGTTTGACTTATGAAGCAGAATAAAATTTACTCTGGATAATATTCCGACTTACTAGAATTTATTCTTCGAGGTCGTAGAAATTGTTGAAAGATTTTGAAGAAAGGTTAAAAGAAAGTTTTGCGAATACCTCGGTTCCTGCAACTGAGTGAAATGAAAGATAATTAAACATCGACCGCTGAAAAATGTCGGGAGATTCCAGTGGACATTCCCATGTAAATTGCCATTACTTCGCTTTAATCCGGTAGCCACGGTTAATTTGCGCGGAAATTTCAATTATTCTGTCTAAAGACAATTTATCCTATCAAGGACATCAAGTGCAATAACGTTGCAGAAACCAATCGACATTCCAGTCAACTCGTCGTTTAAGCATGACTGTACAGAAATGTGTGGTACAATATTCTTTTGCAAAAATTTGTGAGTAGCTTAATGGATCTCTACATTAATCATACAAGAGTACATCAACAATGTTACTTTATATAATTCTTTAACACTACGCACATACATTGTTACACACATGAAACTTTTATTTTGAAAGTGGCCTGAGTTCATTTAAAAACAGAAAAAGAAACATTTAAAAATAAAAAGATAAATTATTACAGTTACGTTATCTTTTTGAAACAGTTAGCACTTACATGATTTTCTTTTAAATGGACTTCGGACACTTTTAGAAAAAACGACTTAACGAAACAATTGTTTAGGACACCCCAGAATTTATATTACTTACATAATACACATAAATCTAGTTCTTATTCAGCGGAATAATTTGCATAAAAGTTAATAGAATTTGAATGAATTATTAATAGACATCGAAAAGTAAAAATGAAGTAGGGAATCAACATAAAGTGTTTATAAAATAATATTCTTTTTCTAATGATTTCATATCAAAAGTAATCATAACGATTCAAATTATTTCTCTGTTAATGAATCCAAACAACTGCAAATTTTCTTTAATAGCGTTCGTTCTGATAAACGTTTGTAAGTAAATTTTTGATAGTCAAACAATTTAGAAACTAATCTCTAATATTTCGTATTATCGCTGTTGATCCATATTCGCCTGGGAAGTCACATTTTGATTCACGGCCTCGTCACGCTTACTTCATCTATTATTCGGTAAAGCAACATTTGGCAGAAGTCACGTATTGATTTTATCGAGTACCACACAGTCCACCTGTTTTGTTTTATATCATATACAATATTTACAATGGACCGAGATAATGAAGTGATATCGATGTCTTATCATTTAAATAGGTTTTCCTACCGAGCGTTTGTATTTCACCACAATAGATAACAATATTTTCATATTACATTGGAACATTTCACGTAGTTAATGAAAATTTTAATAAAACATTTTAGAAAACAGACACGAGTATTTTAATATACAGAAACTTATAGATGATTTAGTTAACTGAATTAGTTAATGAATAAAAATGAAATTAGACATGTAATTCATTTTAAAATCATTTCAATTATTGAAACTATAAAACTCATACTTTATTCAAATCATTTAAATTTTATTACATTTCAATATATTTAATTAAATATTGTTTATGAGTTTTATTTGTATTGAATACTTGTTGACATAGAGCACCACTGCTTCGTGAAAATCTCTTACTTACCACGCCAATGTACTCTTCTGGTAACAAGAAATGGTCTGTTTTACCGACTCCTGTAAATATCAAGGAGTTGCAGAAAACGAACTGCTGGATGTCGTTAGTCCATAGAGATATTGGCACAATCACAATTCGTAAATACGTATCCGTCGCAGATAATAAAGAATAATGTAATTTTTAATTGCTTATTTCAATATCCACACGGAATATTATTATTTTCTTTTTATAAATTTAAAAAAGATTTTTTGCACTTTTAATTTTACCAATCTAATTACTAACTCAAATTAAAGAACCTTTCAAATATCTATATTTACTTCTAGTAGATATATTCATAATTTCTAAAAGAAAACAATTGAAAAAATGGTTATTAACCGCTATATATTAAATTTTTATCCTAATAAAACTTAATGACTTAATTTATTACACGTTATTTTTTCAATATCAAATTCAAGAATTATATTTTTCACTTCACCTTTGAAACTTAACAAATGATATTCCTTTCAATTACTAGTCAACGAACATTGTTTCAATAAAAACATGAAAAATGTATAGCCATCAACCTGCAAGAAAAATACAGAATCGAATTATATCAATTACTCGTAAAAAGTGCTTTTTCTTTCCAATTAACTCTAATAACTTCATGTACATACATTCAAATACAAATGTCTTAGAATACAATTAAAGAAACAGAATTGGGATAGAAAATCGTTCTACCTAACAAATGTTACAAAACCACTACACTCTAGATAGTTTAACACGTTGAACGCCGCATGATTTCATAAAGAAAATATTCGAAATGTAAAAAATGTAACATTAAATCATTTGATTGAATTATATTAGTATTGCAAGTTCATTTAGCTAAATGCCATCACATTAACTAGTATTATTTATAATATAGAAATGTTTTCAAACAATCATCGTTTAATTGAGTGAACTATAGTAATTTCATTTGGTTGGGGATCATCAGTAACCTCCATGGCATTTAACGTGTTAAATAAACACATAAAGATCCACCAATACCCGTGAATCACATCAAATATCCCATCAGATCCAACCGCGAAAATTGAAAACTAGTTTCATTTCTCCTGCAAAAGTCGGTCAAAGCCGATCGGTCATTCCCGCGGCGATCGACGAACCACGCGCTACATACGGAACACGAAAAGACAGAAAACCAAAAAAATTGGATCATTTAAAAAACTACCCGACTCGAGCGATTGGCCCGTTTCGTTGACCAGTCGAGGCTCGGGTTTCAAAATAAATGTCAATAAATCTAGGCGCGGCTGTCCGTTCGAATTAGATTCCAGCGCAACGATCCCCGCGAAATCGATACGAGCCGAAAGAACGATATTCGGAGACAAGGCAGCGGGACTCCGAGGAAAAGAAGTATCGGTGAACGCGAGACGTCACGATTTTTCGACGCCTGTTCGATCGTCGATTCGATTGCCGCCCGCGAAACGGCGCAAAGTAGGCTGGATCGGCAAAGTACAGTGGAGCCTCGTCCTAATTGGTTCCGGAGTGGGCGACGTAAGTCGAAAAAAACGTAAATCGGTGTACACAGGATAGGCATGTAAGCAGGTATGCGAACATATATATCTGTACATGCACTTATTAGATTAGGAGATACATTTTCTTTTAAATGTATGAAAATGATAAAAGAGATCACGTTTAACGAATGTTTACGAAGAATCGAAGAGGTTACGATGTCAGGAATAATACTGGAACGTACTAGATGGTCTTCTTTTGTTGCCGTTAAGATGTGTTCTTTATTTTTCAGAAATGCCATCACAGTTGTTTTCTGTAAATTTATTTTTTAGTTAATCTCAAAACCTTGCGTTCCTTTAGTATTTCCTTTTTTAACAATATAATTTAAAGATGGGGACATCTGACGCTGTGGTACCATTCTGTATACGAACATAATGGTCTTAAATCTCGATTAATTGCGCTTGTGTACTGATGTTCACTGTAAATATATGTCATAACTTCTAAAATTGTGTGCAAACTGTATAATCTGAAATTATTTATTCATAAAAAGGCTATAAAATGAATCTATGGCCCGACGAATTTTTTAGTCAAGTTTTAGACTGATTCAGTTAAAACTAACTACGTACAGCGAGAAATGTTGGTTAAAATCAATTGACTACTGTGTTACGTAGAGACGACGTACATAACTGCGAAACGACGTAAATCGGGACGACGTAACTCGTGGTCCCTCTGTAGGTGACATTTTGCCGAAAAACAACTTTCTCGAATCGATATTTACTTAATGTATTTTCGTTCTTAAATGTCTGTAAACCTCGGAAACAAAAAAGTTAATGTAATGTAGAAAAGATTATAGTTGTAATAAACATCGGAAGTTAGACATGGTAAGAGTACCATTTCTGACAAAAATAATTGCATCACTTGTACGTGATGTCATGACGATTGTATGCAATATTTTTGCCTCGTTTTGGTCTTAAAATGTTCAGCAGACTTTTCTGATTAAAATTACTCTTGTACTAAACAATACTGTGTTATCTGTTGGAACAATAAAGCTTAATAAACTAATGAAAATTCACAAAATTTTTTACTCGACAAGGAGTAACTGTTATATCACGAAAAATCCTAGGATCAAACAAATTGGAATCTATCCAGCATAGTTTTCTTTACAAGATTATGAAAGTATCATTTCTCAATTCTTTTTTCGTAATCTTGTAAAGAAAACTATACTGAATATATCCTAATTTGTTCGATCCTGGCATTTCTTAGGATTTAAAAATTGTCCCGTGGAAAATGTAAAAAATTCTGTTTAGTGCAAGCGTAATTTTATTCAGGAAAATATGCTGATTATTCCCAGACCAAAACGAAGGAAAAATATTGAATACAATCGTCATGGCGTTACGTAGAGGAGAAGCAATTATTTTTGTGAAAAATGGTACTCTTAATATGTCTAACTTCCGATGTTTATTACAACTATAATCTTTACTACATTATATTATTTTCGTTTCCGAGGTTTATAGACGTTTAAGGAGCCAAATACATTAAGTAGATATCGATTCGAGAAAGTTGCCTTTTTGGCAAAATAGCACCTACTTTTCCGATCCAGCCCACTGTGCGGCGGCTTCCGAGCGATCATGGGAATTGAGCCTCGCGGCATTTGCATTCGCCAACTATATCGGCTGGAATTTCACGAGGGCGTAAATAAACATAAAGCCATAAAGCCGCTGGCCCATACACGCGGGCAATCGCACACCTCCGATTCATTTTGGCAGCGACAGATTCGAATGATGCTTGGCCTAAAAACCCATTATACACTCCAGTCAAATCTTTCCGACAAGGGGCGACAATGAATAGACCGCGGGCTCTTCACGGAAATTTACAGTTATGGATCTTGCTCGGCTGAAAATTAAAAAAGGGTATTTATCGGAGGTCTTGTTTTAGGTAGGTTTTTGCGCGTTAGGGGACGTAATATATGCATAACCGTCTGCGGTCTAGTA